GTGAATCCCGGTGAACTTATAATGTGCTTGCTAAAGAAGTTAAGGGCGAGAGTTAAACAAACAGTAATGTTAATTAGCATTTCAGGTCATCTTAATTTTTGTGAGTTTTACTCTTATGTAAGATATAAATAGTTGTTAATTTTATTGTAATTTATTCTGTAGTTTTATCAAATTGTACAATAAAGACTGAAGAGGAGCAAATAGACCGAAATGCATTTCCATTTTCAAAATAAAGTCTACATTATTCATCAGGTGTATATTACACTAAACGTCTGGAGAGTAGCTTCTTGGTCCTGTATTTGTCAACGGCATCCTGATTGGTGACCGTTATCTTAACATACGACTGTAGACGAACGACTGGACAATTTTCTACTGGAATAACTACAACAGATTTGGTATAAGCAGAATGATGCTCTAGTTCATTCCCGAATGTAATATATGTCAGTGGTTTGCAGTTTAACAACGCGACTCTATTCTCCAGACTCGACCCCTGTAGTTTTTCGTATAGAGCCACCTAAAAGCATCAGTATTTAGCAGCCGTGTGTAATGCTGACGAGCAAGAGAAGGGAATATGAAAGGCGTGTAGAATGGTGATGCAAGATGTCTTTGTTTAAGGACGGAGTATTTTTTCATGTTATTCTTATTCTCTATAATATCCAAAACACTTTTAATAAGTTTTTTATTTGGCAACATTGTAAATGTTAAAAAATTACATTTCTACTACAAAAAGGGAAATGATAAAGATTCTCAGTATGATACGGCAGCATAGCCCCATTTATGAGAAAAAAAATAAAAATCTAGCAACGAGTTTCTTAACTTTCCCAGCAACGTTTAGTTGCGCCATCTGTTATCATATTTTATTTAAAAGCTTTTTACGTTTTTAACTATTAAAAAATGGCAAAAAGTTTAATTTTCAAAGTAGGGACGGGTTTTATAAAAAAAAGTCTGACCCTACTGAAGATACGACCCCTTTATCTCCCCACCACCCTCTCGATTTTTAATCACTAAAATTTAATAGCATTAATCCCCGTAATAAACAAACCTCCCTGCAAAATTTCAAAAAATTTTCAACAAAAAGCACAGGAGATATTAAGCTTCAAATAGGATGAATAAAATCGTTCAAACAAATACAGTAGTATCGTCCCAATGCTGTATGAATAAAAAGATAAGAGACGTCAAAAAAAAAGCACTACTATTATGTATTTAATTGCACCCTTACTTTGTGCCCTTACTTGAATTACATACGAGTTTTTTAATCAAAGTTTTTTCAATTAAAATACAGAACATTTTCATAGAAAGAAATTATTCCAATAATAACTAAAAAAGTATATTCACGATTTTAAAAGTCTACAGCGTATTATTCCACAGAGTTTTTAAAACTGCGAATGTATTAATGACGTCTTTTCTCTTAAGAAAAAGGAATTTCAGCAAGAATTCAGGGCACACTTCTTTATTATAAGAGTTATAAAAGTCTATAAAATTTCTTATCGTAAAAGTAATAATTTAAACATGTTGAAATCAGTTTTTTCCCAGATTATCTTTCATGTTGATACTTATCATCCGATAATTTNACAAATTCTCTGAATTGAAAAATATACAATTATACTATAAAATACCTCACGCAAATAAAATATAATAATACGTATAATATATAGCAAAGCTTTTATATACTCTATAATATCATACAGGAAATTATACAGGTTATAATAGCCTACACAACAATACAGCTGTTTAATATTGTATACACATAGATTTCCTCACTTAATTAATGTTACAACTATACTATTAGAATAGATGAAAATAATTGACTTTCATCTTATATCAAAACTATTCTTTATTATTAGAATGTGAATTCTTAAAACCAAAAAAAAAAACCGACGTTAAGTATAGCTTTTTTGAGTATTGTCAAGGAGTATGGCTTTACTATCATTTCTGGCAATTTCATGAAAATAAATAAACAACTGTTGAGTTAAAATCAACTTTTAAAACCGATTTCGAATTTATTTAATATAAATTTGTCATTATAAATTCACAAATAAAAATAGAAAAGAAAAGAGTAATGATGTTAATACGATCGTTTCTAAACGAGCCGCACGATTCTTCTGAATTAACACGTCATATAACACTAACAATAACGACTCAATTACTATACAAGTAACAACTGACCATAGGATAACACAGAAATTTATACGCCACAGAAAAAGAAAATCGACGAACGAGTAGAATTAGTATCAGTCGACCCCCCTATAACACTGTCGATTATTCCGTTTTATATGAATTCCATGTTGTACGAGTCATTTAGATTTTACAAATACGTGTACCGGGCTGTGAACGGCTCACGTATTTGTAAAATCTAAGTGACTCGTACACCATGGAATTCATATAAAACGGAATAATCAACAGTGTTATAGGGGGGTCGACTTGTATTTACTCATTAATAAGAGTTTTTGTACCATGAATTTATTTTTATTAATTTTATTAACAAGTACTGTACTTTTTAATAATAACTCTCTCTCTCTTTTTATTCATTATATTATTAATTTTAATTTTAAGAAAATAAACACTATTTTTTTTATTTTTGTTGATATTTATTTACGGTTAACACGATAGCTTTATCCTGTAAAAATCTTTCTGTACAAGGCAAACAACACATGCGGGAAAAACCAACATTATTTAGACAGAAGGTATTTTATTTTATTTTATTTTCTTTGGAATAAAATCTCTTTCCGTCAGTTTTAAAAATTAAATTAAAGTATTTTTAAACTAACTCTGTAATAAGAAATAAGTTTTTTTTTTTGTATAGATAAAAGAAAAATCAATATAAGTAGGAAAGGTTTAGAAATTTTACATAATACCGAATGAATTCTAAAAAAAAAAAAAAGTTATTTAAATTTTAATGATAAGCGTATTGTAAAATTTATCTAAAATATTACAGATTTATTGTTTGTTTACTTATAAATTAAAATATTATAATTAAAATATCAACAATCATAAGCACATATAGACTTTTTCGTGTTAAAAACTAAGCTTATAAATTCAATTTTAGTTTAAATACTGTTATAACAGAGAGAAAGTATGGCGATCCGGCAAAAATAATAGCAACCCCTCCCCTAGATGTTTACATTTTTAGGCTCAGGACACCTTGAAACGTCAAAAAAATCGAGGGTAATTTCTTTATGTATGGATATTTGTATAGGTATGTGTATATGTGTATGGGGGGTCACGATTTTGTTCACCCTGTTTGAAGCTTAATAACTCCTATGCTTTTTGTCGAAAATTTCTGAAATTTTGCACAGAGGTTTATGTATTAGAGGGATTGATATTATTACACCGAACTTTCGATTATCCTTACCAATTAGTGAACTGTTGTGCACGAAAAACCGAAAAAAAACGTGGATAATCTAAAATACTTCTCCAAACTATTAAAAAATTATCAGAGGTTTTAAAAATATTGTGTAGCAAATCTACTGTTTATAGTGTATTAGTGATGATTTTTTTCACGTGTGTTATTCTATCAAAAAAATTTCTAAAGTTTCGTTTGTAAATTGAAGTCAACTCCCGTGGACGTTTTAGACGTTTCTTGAAAAGTCAGCTGTTCTTGAAAGCACACTGATGATGTGTATACAACTTCCTATTCATAACGTTGTCTATGCACAAGGTGGCCAAAATAATTTCACGAATAATCTGCAAAACGGATAATTGGCAGCTCGGTATATATATTAGTAAATATAATCATTCTTCAGCTATTCTCAATTTTAACTTATTACAAATATAAATATAGTTACTAGGATAACAGTTAATTATCACACAAGTAGAAGAAAACTAAATTTTAAAAAATCTAGTAACGAGTTGCTTAACTTTTCCGGCAACAATTAGTGGCGCCATCTGTTATTTTATTAAAAACATTTTTATATTTTTTAACTATTATAAAATCGCAAAAATCTTAATTTTTAGGGTAGGAATGGGTTTTATAAAAAAATTATAAATGTTAACAACGAGTAAAATCGTTATTAAGTCTGACCCTACTGGAGATACACACGACTCTATCTCTCCACTTCCTATAGCTTTAACCACCAAAATTTAACAGCATCAATCTCCCTAATAAACAAGCCTCCCTGCAAAATTTCAGAGATTTTTGACAAATAGCAAAGGCGTTATTAAGCTTCAAACAGGGTGAACAAAATCGTGCCCTCCCATACACATACACACATCCACACTAACATTCATGCATACAGAAATTACCCTCCCCCCCATTTTTTCTCTGCATTTCTCAATTTTTCAAGGTATCCTGAGTCCAAAAATGTAAAAATCTTGGGGGTCATTTTTTTGCCGGATCTCCATACTTTTCCTCTGTTACATATAACAGTCAATAAAGTAAAATAAAAGTGTCTTTCTATTATTGAAGTTTTCGTCCGATTCGAAATGCGGTTTAAAATATTAAAAGACCCTCTGATGACCCTCTGATAAGCCGTTATCAGACTATTGTTGGCTCTGGATGGCACGAAGAAGGGTTTTGAAGAAATTTTGAAGGTTTCGAAAGACTTGTATTAATGTTTTGTTTAGTCAGAGCTTTCACAATTTCTTTAGTAAAACACTTTATACACAAGATATGTTTGAAAAATGATGTATAAGCCTGCATTTAATACACTTTAGTTGTTTACCTGATAAGAACTAGAGTTTAAAATAGCTTTACACAATCGCGCTCGATATTTTTACATCAAATATGATTGATTCGTTTGATTATTAAGTTATACAAAAACCATTTCAGCATCGTCTTATCATTAAAAATAATTGTTTAAAATTGAACTAAACTGTAAACATTATAATAAATTTATTGGATACATTAATATAACTTAATTAGAAAATAATCATGCAAATAACAATCTCTTTGATAGCAATAAAATTACAAAATTGCTAAATTATTATTATTATTATTAATTTAAATATATATTTACTTAATAAAATGTATGTAATCAAGACTCGTTTCTTTTTATAACAGTTAAATTTATTTATACATAGCATCGTCGCCAAAAGTACAAAAAATTCTCCAAATATGACATTTTTTTACAAAGGATAATACAATTTACCGTACGAATACGATTGAGTACAACAAATATACACATATATATTTATATATATTAGCACAACAACGTACAGTTCGTGATATATACAAGTGCACAAAACTACATAATAATAATAATCCACCATCGTCTCTACAAATCATGCTTTGATCGTGGCTACTTTAATTTGGCATCGAACGTCTTCATATGTACAAAAAGTAGTTTAGTAACCATATTAGCGTTTTCAGCAAAGAAAGAAAAAAAAAAAGGAAAAATTCTGGCAGTATTAACCTGCTGGAAGACAACTGGGATTACTTACGTTGTTTCACACGCAATTATCCATTATTTTTTTTAATATACTGTCTCTACCCAGTCAAAGTATAATGCGCACAGGAAACCGGGCAAGCACTACACACTCAGTATTTCAGTACTAAACACAATCATTTCAGGAATATGCTTTAAACAGTCCATGTTTAAGCAATTTATTACACCCAGTATACTTCTTATATTATTCAAACGTGTACCCTTTGATCTCTTATCTGATGCCTATTCAATTCTTCATAAATTGCTCCGAGTGTTTTAAAAATAGTTTTAAAACTTGGCCTGTTTGCTGGTTTTCTATTCCAAGTAGCTTTCATTAAATTATAAATAGGAGCGGGTGTATTATCCGGACAGACAAGAATATTACCTTCTTTAATAAATTTCACAACTTCTTCGTGAGTCATACCGTAATATGGCTGTAAAGCAAAACTGAATATCTCCCAAAGAACTACTCCAAATGCCCATACATCTGATTCGACAGTAAATTTACTATAAAGAATAGATTCCAATGGCATCCAACGTATTGGAATAGCATCGTGTTCATTACCTTTGTAATAATTAGCAGCGTAGATCTTCTGAGATAAACCGAAATCTGCTATTTTAACCACCATATCGTCACTGACCAAACAGTTTCTAGTGGCTAAATCTCTATGTACAAATTTTCTTTCGGAAAGATAAACCATTCCTGCTGCAATCTGTCTTGCTATATTTAATAAATCTAAATGAGTTAAACGAACATCATTGAAGATGTCGCCGTTTGCTGTCCGTACGATGTAATTAGTAGGCGCACAGGAGCGTAAAAATTCATTTAAATCACCTCGGCCCATATATTCAAATAAAAGACACATGGGTTTACCAATAGCACAAACACCCAATAATTTAACTATGTTGGTGTGGTCAAATTCTGCCATTAAACACGCTTCACGCTCGAAATCACTTTGCAAATCTTCTGTAGCTTCTTCTTTTAACATCTTAACGGCAACCATTGTAAATTCTTCTCCTTTAGTTAAACCTGGTGCTTTTGCTTGGAAAACTCTCCCGAAAGCACCCTGACCAATATCTCTTATATATATAATATCGTTACGTGGATATTCTAAATTTTCTAATTTTGGATTCAGCTGGGCACTTGTATGATGGTAAGACATATTCGATGGTAATTTATCCAAATCTATTTCCACGTCGGTGGTAGGTGTAGCGTTGTATCCACTTCGATACTTTTGTAATCTACGAAATCCCAATACCATTGCTAAAATAACAACAATACCGGCCAAACTAAGAGAACAAATAATTAAAATGAACGAAGGAGTAAATATTGGTTCAGTCGGCGTATCAAAGATATCTGACATGTCAAAGTCGGAGCCTAAGATGTAACTGTTGTTTTCTGAAAAATAAATTCAATCATTTTATTGACTTATTCTAATTTTAATTACATCAAATGATTAATAATCTTATAATTTAATTAAAAACAGATCTTCTTTTTTTTTTGGATATTCTTCTAATTGAATGAATACAAATACCTAATTAAACTTAGTTACATACTAAAATCTACAAGGGAAAAATAATTATTTACCACAACGTGGTATATCGCAATGTTGCCATCTTATTCTAGGATCCATTGTATAACACCAAGGAACAGGTTCTTCTCCTCCAGCATTTCTGCAATAATTTTCGGAATTCGAGACTTCTGGAAATACCATAGGCGGTCTGTTATGATGGTGAGGTTCCTATAAAAATAAAAAATAAAAATAAAATAATAATTAAACTGTTTTCATATTTATTAAATTAAAATAAGCCTAAACACACTATTAATTAAAGAATTTTAGTTTTAAAAAGTTCAAGAGATTTTCTGTTATTGGTTTTAACAGAAGAAGAAGAAGAAGGGGGGAAAAAATCCATAATCTTTTTATTTTTAGAATTTCTCTTCAATTCTTGTGTAATTAACGTTATTTCAATCAATTAAATTCGGATTAATTTATTTTTAATTATCACTCGTGTAATNTCTTTCTTTGCTGAAAACGCTAATATGGTTACTAAACTACTTTTTGTACATATGAAGACGTTCGATGCCAAATTAAAGTAGCCACGATCAAAGCATGATTTGTAGAGACGATGGTGGATTATTATTATTATGTAGTTTTGTGCACTTGTATCTCTAAAATCATTTACCAACAAAATTGAATTTTTGCGTTTTTTTTTTTCTCCCTCCAATTCACCTTCCTTCCTTCCGCATTAATTAAAATAAAAATCTTTAAAAATAATTACGTGTTAATTTAATTAAATATATCGTTTATTTATTTGAATATTTACAGAGAAGATTGCATCGCTGTTAGAGAGTTATTCTGTTATAACGAATGGGCACTCATCGAAGATAATAAACAAAGAGGAATTTATTTTAAATCTCGTGGTCATTTCCGTTTACCATTTTGTGATATTTTACCCTATAGAGTCAATTCTACTAATTCGTGTTCCGATGGGCGTTTAACTGAAATGAAAGAGGAAGAAATAACCAGTAAGCATTTTTTATATAGTTAATGTATACAGTATACACTGTTGATTTTTCCGTTTTATATGAATTCCATGTTGTACGAGTCACTTAGATTTTACAAATACGTGTGCCAGGCTGTGAATGGCTCACGTATTTGTAAAATCTAAGTGACTCGTACAACATGGAATTCATATAAAACGGAAAAATCAACAGTGTATACTGTATACATTAACTATATAAAAAATGCTTACTGGTTATTTCTTCCTCTTTCATTTCAGTTAAACGCCCATCGGAACACGAATTAGTAGAATTGACTCTATAGGGTAAAATATCACAAAATGGTAAACGGAAATGACCACGAGATTTAAAATAAATTCCTCTTTGTTTATTATCTTCGATGAGTGCCCATTCGTTATAACAGAATAACTCTCTAACAGCTATGCAATCTTCTCTGTAAATATTCAAATAAATAAACGATATATTTAATTAAATTAACACGTAATTATTTTTAAAGATTTTTATTTTAATTAATGCGGAAGGAAGGAAGGTGAATTGGAGGGAGAAAAAAAAAAAAAACGCAAAAATTCAATTTTGTTGGTAAATGATTTTAGAGTGGAAGACCGTCGAATCGTTTTATCTAAACGTCCAATGTAAAAATTGAACATCGAGAACAGGATACTTTTTCATTTTATATTTGAACTAGATACTTTATGAAAAAAATAAAAAGACTTGAAAGCATATCAAGTCGATTTTTAGTATCAGATTGAAAACGAAGTATACCGAGTTATCAACGTAAGACGTAAAGAAAAAAAAATAAAGGTTCAATCCCTAACTCTTAATGGAAACTGGAGAGCAAAATTTTATGATGTAATAATTTAAAAATTCCTGATTAGAATGAAAATTTTTTTTTATCTAGAAGTTAAACACGTAAAGAAGAAATAATAAATTATACTTTAATTAAGTTAAAACGTTAACAGATATATTACGAATTTAGTTAGATAAAGTTTAAAATGTTTGAAAGTGAAATAAAATAAAAAAAAAACAATGATGGAAATTAAAATATGTTTAAATCTAATATTTTGTGAAAGAAAAACGAAAGAAAATAAGTTTTAAAATTACATGACAAAGTGACAACAAAAGCTAATACAAAGCTTAAAAATATCAGATTCGTTTAAACTTTTCCTGAAGGGATAAAATTCTGAAGATGACAAATTGATCTTTTCTATGACTAATACATAATACTTACTTGCATACAGGTTTGCTTACAGCAATGCCATTTATCCACTCGCACCTAGGAAATGCGTAGGTGCAAAGTAATGTCTCAGCAGCTGTTCTACACGGTTCCATTAAAGAAGATATTACTTCTTCCCATAATCCAGTAGTTATCTCTTCGTTCACCATTCCATCCGTTGTGTAATTATAAAAAACAAGATTTACACCTTTCAGATGTTTTTTACAAATCGTTCCAGTATATACGGAACAATACCCACTGGATACATCGTTTTTATTCGTTTCTTTCGTAACAGATTCTTCAAAATTATCATCAATTTCTTCCGATATTTCCGTTTCTTCAAGGATACCGAAACTTTCTATAAATAAAACTTATACTTAATTTAACTTCTATAATATTAAACTTATTATCTATTATGATTATGAATATAAATAATCGATTCTTCTATGATTCAAACTGTGGACATGTAAGCTAAAATTGGTGAAGGAGGTAAAGATAAAATGAGAGATAACTGTATCCTGGGGGAGCATAAAATTCTGAAGAGTAGTCTTCAATAGTTAAGTTAACTTTTCCAATTTTATCAGTTGAGAAAAGAGATTTAAGGGCGTTATCTCTTTAAAAGACAAGACCATCGATTCTCGTTAAAATTTATCCACTTAATCTTACTCGTATAGCGATAACTAGCCTTGTTATAAATTAAAGAAGGGGGGGAGGAAAAAGAGATTCTTTATTAATATGTGTGAAGCTATACAAAAAAATAGTAATTAATCTTTAATTATTAACATTAATAAAAAAAAATGTGTACTGAAAGTAAAATAATTTAATAACGTAATTACATTATTGATGTCTTACCTGACTTAGTCAAGACATAAATAACAAAGTCCTTACTATCCGTTACAGAAGTATTAATGCTACTGATGTAATTAGTAGCTCTACACGTATATATGGAAGTGATCGTAGCATTAACATTTAGTAGAGAGTGAGAAAATACTGTCTCCTTATGAGATATCTGAAATAAATCATTTCAGTTCAATATTTATCAATGCTTTTATAATAATTACTTAAAGATATATAAGCTATTACGTATATTAATCTAACTTCTAGCATAGGATAAACCGTAAGAATGGTGATAGTCTAGTAAGGTGATGCTAGGAAAACGAAACACGTTGTAGTAATCTGATACTTCTCATCACAACAATAAAATATGACAGTATGAGCAAATAATAGTTATTGGCTTCGGCAAACATCAAATAAGAAAAGAAGTCGGAAGTTTTTGCTGTCTTCGTCAATTCATTAAGTGAGTACTTGCTGATGGTCGAACTGACCTTACCAAAGAAAATGACATTTTCTTAAACTTAATCGAGATAACGACCATTAAGTTTAACAGTCGTGTTCACTCGATTGATCTTCAGAATGTTCCTTTTGTATCATCAACTTTCTGCATTCATTTTCACTTATTGAAAGATTTAAATTAATATAATTTAACTGTAAATTTTCCAAAAAAATTTCAATTATAAAGTTTTACATTAAAATATCTAATTAATATTCTATAAAAAAATAATAATTATCCTGTTTTAATGCAGTCACAAAAAAACGATTTAAATATGCAAATGATTTATATTTTAAAAAAGGAATTCTTCATAAAGGATCATAAATTTCATTAAATATTTCATTGAAATTGTTAAATAAATGATTCCTTTAATGAAAGAGTTTAAAACTTTTAGTGTTTTTTTTATATAAATTTTTTAACATATATAAATAGCTTTATCAAACATTTAACTTATCAGTTAAATGCCTTTAGATTTTAAAAGTTTCTGCTTCGACTAANTTTCTTTGCTGAAAACGCTAATATGGTTACTAAACTACTTTTTGTACATATGAAGACGTTCGATGCCAAATTAAAGTAGCCACGATCAAAGCATGATTTGTAGAGACGATGGTGGATTATTATTATTATGTAGTTTTGTGCACTTGTATCTCTAAAATCATTTACCAACAAAATTGAATTTTTGCGTTTTTTTTTTTCTCCCTCCAATTCACCTTCCTTCCTTCCGCATTAATTAAAATAAAAATCTTTAAAAATAATTACGTGTTAATTTAATTAAATATATCGTTTATTTATTTGAATATTTACAGAGAAGATTGCATCGCTGTTAGAGAGTTATTCTGTTATAACGAATGGGCACTCATCGAAGATAATAAACAAAGAGGAATTTATTTTAAATCTCGTGGTCATTTCCGTTTACCATTTTGTGATATTTTACCCTATAGAGTCAATTCTACTAATTCGTGTTCCGATGGGCGTTTAACTGAAATGAAAGAGGAAGAAATAACCAGTAAGCATTTTTTATATAGTTAATGTATACAGTATACACTGTTGATTTTTCCGTTTTATATGAATTCCATGTTGTACGAGTCACTTAGATTTTACAAATACGTGTGCCAGGCTGTGAATGGCTCACGTATTTGTAAAATCTAAGTGACTCGTACAACATGGAATTCATATAAAACGGAAAAATCAACAGTGTATACTGTATACATTAACTATATAAAAAATGCTTACTGGTTATTTCTTCCTCTTTCATTTCAGTTAAACGCCCATCGGAACACGAATTAGTAGAATTGACTCTATAGGGTAAAATATCACAAAATGGTAAACGGAAATGACCACGAGATTTAAAATAAATTCCTCTTTGTTTATTATCTTCGATGAGTGCCCATTCGTTATAACAGAATAACTCTCTAACAGCTATGCAATCTTCTCTGTAAATATTCAAATAAATAAACGATATATTTAATTAAATTAACACGTAATTATTTTTAAAGATTTTTATTTTAATTAATGCGGAAGGAAGGAAGGTGAATTGGAGGGAAAAAAAAAAAAAACGCAAAAATTCAATTTTGTTGGTAAATGATTTTAGAGTGGAAGACCGTCGAATCGTTTTATCTAAACGTCCAATGTAAAAATTGAACATCGAGAACAGGATACTTTTTCATTTTATATTTGAACTAGATACTTTATGAAAAAAATAAAAAGACTTGAAAGCATATCAAGTCGATTTTTAGTATCAGATTGAAAACGAAGTATACCGAGTTATCAACGTAAGACGTAAAGAAAAAAAAAATAAAGGTTCAATCCCTAACTCTTAATGGAAACTGGAGAGCAAAATTTTATGATGTAATAATTTAAAAATTCCTGATTAGAATGAAAATTTTTTTTTATCTAGAAGTTAAACACGTAAAGAAGAAATAATAAATTATACTTTAATTAAGTTAAAACGTTAACAGATATATTACGAATTTAGTTAGATAAAGTTTAAAATGTTTGAAAGTGAAATAAAATAAAAAAAAAAAACAATGATGGAAATTAAAATATGTTTAAATCTAATATTTTGTGAAAGAAAAACGAAAGAAAATAAGTTTTAAAATTACATGACAAAGTGACAACAAAAGCTAATACAAAGCTTAAAAATATCAGATTCGTTTAAACTTTTCCTGAAGGGATAAAATTCTGAAGATGACAAATTGATCTTTTCTATGACTAATACATAATACTTACTTGCATACAGGTTTGCTTACAGCAATGCCATTTATCCACTCGCACCTAGGAAATGCGTAGGTGCAAAGTAATGTCTCAGCAGCTGTTCTACACGGTTCCATTAAAGAAGATATTACTTCTTCCCATAATCCAGTAGTTATCTCTTCGTTCACCATTCCATCCGTTGTGTAATTATAAAAAACAAGATTTACACCTTTCAGATGTTTTTTACAAATCGTTCCAGTATATACGGAACAATACCCACTGGATACATCGTTTTTATTCGTTTCTTTCGTAACAGATTCTTCAAAATTATCATCAATTTCTTCCGATATTTCCGTTTCTTCAAGGATACCGAAACTTTCTATAAATAAAACTTATACTTAATTTAACTTCTATAATATTAAACTTATTATCTATTATGATTATGAATATAAATAATCGATTCTTCTATGATTCAAACTGTGGACATGTAAGCTAAAATTGGTGAAGGAGGTAAAGATAAAATGAGAGATAACTGTATCCTGGGGGAGCATAAAATTCTGAAGAGTAGTCTTCAATAGTTAAGTTAACTTTTCCAATTTTATCAGTTGAGAAAAGAGATTTAAGGGCGTTATCTCTTTAAAAGACAAGACCATCGATTCTCGTTAAAATTTATCCACTTAATCTTACTCGTATAGCGATAACTAGCCTTGTTATAAATTAAAGAAGGGGGGGAGGAAAAAGAGATTCTTTATTAATATGTGTGAAGCTATACAAAAAAATAGTAATTAATCTTTAATTATTAACATTAATAAAAAAAAATGTGTACTGAAAGTAAAATAATTTAATAACGTAATTACATTATTGATGTCTTACCTGACTTAGTCAAGACATAAATAACAAAGTCCTTACTATCCGTTACAGAAGTATTAATGCTACTGATGTAATTAGTAGCTCTACACGTATATATGGAAGTGATCGTAGCATTAACATTTAGTAGAGAGTGAGAAAATACTGTCTCCTTATGAGATATCTGAAATAAATCATTTCAGTTCAATATTTATCAATGCTTTTATAATAATTACTTAAAGATATATAAGCTATTACGTATATTAATCTAACTTCTAGCATAGGATTAACCGTAAGAATGGTGATAGTCTAGTAAGGTGATGCTAGGAAAACGAAACACGTTGTAGTAATCTGATACTTCTCATCACAACAATAAAATATGACAGTATGAGCAAATAATAGTTATTGGCTTCGGCAAACATCAAATAAGAAAAGAAGTCGGAAGTTTTTGCTGTCTTCGTCAATTCATTAAGTGAGTACTTGCTGATGGTCGAACTGACCTTACCAAAGAAAATGACATTTTCTTAAACTTAATCGAGATAACGACCATTAAGTTTAACAGTCGTGTTCACTCGATTGATCTTCAGAATGTTCCTTTTGTATCATCAACTTTCTGCATTCATTTTCACTTATTGAAAGATTTAAATTAATATAATTTAACTGTAAATTTTCCAAAAAAATTTCAATTATAAAGTTTTACATTAAAATATCTAATTAATATTCTATAAAAAAATAATAATTATCCTGTTTTAATGCAGTCACAAAAAAACGATTTAAATATGCAAATGATTTATATTTTAAAAAAGGAATTCTTCATAAAGGATCATAAATTTCATTAAATATTTCATTGAAATTGTTAAATAAATGATTCCTTTAATGAAAGAGTTTAAAACTTTTAGTGTTTTTTTTATATAAATTTTTTAACATATATAAATAGCTTTATCAAACATTTAACTTATCAGTTAAATGCCTTTAGATTTTAAAAGTTTCTGCTTCGACTAACAGTTTTACAAATTTCTTTCGATTTGTCAAGTCAGCAGTTTTAATTGAAAAGATCTAAATGACTTTTTTCAGCCGTAAAAGATGCAATAAAATTTGTCAAATCCTCTCCGAGAAACTTTAATCAGTTTGGATGTTTTTATTGCTCGAAATTTAAGACAATATTTAATGTCATCGCATATTAAAACGCAGAATTAATTCTAATATATACATTAACCTTTAAAACCTGTAATCTAATCCATAGGAATTCATAATGTAATGATTAAGCGAAATAACTAGTTAAATAATAATAATATACAACCCTTTAACTTATTATTAAATTATATTTTAATAATAATAATAATAAATTTCGAATTTTGACAAGAGTTAATGATTGATTATTCTAATATAATCCAATAGAAAAACTATTTTTTAAAGATGACGATCATCATCATTTTCGATTAATAATTTTCTTTCTCTTCTATGAGATGGATTTACCAGACAGATCACATACATTCGGCGAGAATCTCTCCTTTCAACTACCTTAGATCATATTACATCCAAGCCTTTCTATCCTTACTTTACCTCATGCATTAAACATGGAAGAAAACACAGAACCATCTGCCAGCAACCGGTGGAAGAACTCTTAGCGGTCAACTTTGTATATTAAATATTTATTTCTCTACGAAAAAAGGTGAATGAAATGAGAATAGAAATCGAAAGACTTGTATTATAAGCTCTAAATATATATATATATATATATTATTTAATTTTCTAGGGTCCGAATAGACGTATAATGTATGTAGAGGTTAAAGGTCGTTTCGGTTTTCTTCGCAAAAGAATAGAAATTTGATTCAATTATATGAGAAGTAATGAAGCGTAAATGGATATATAACATTTAGAATTTGTTAAATTTAAAATTTTCGAAGTGCAGGGAGGAATTATTATTGATGGCAAATCCTACGGTTGAAGCTATTAGTGCCATCTGGCTTCGACTGCAGTCCCCTTATCGGTTAGAAGAAAGATCGACCGCAATCAGTCGAATCGGAAATGTGGGTGGAATTCTTTTTCCTCGTTTTTCTTTATACCTTTTCCTTTCGTTTCTTTTTTTTTCCCCTTCTACTTTGATTCACTTTTGTAGTTTACTGAAAAGTTTCAAATGGAAGACACAGATTGGACTTTGATTGTGAGTGCTTGCTTTGTGCTTTATTGACGATATCTTATCGAATATCAACTATTTTTTGTCCTTGTAACTAGACGAAATATTAAACAAGTAATTTTTTAAATCAAATTATTGATTAATTATTATTTTACGTATTATGAGAGATAACTGTATCCTGGGGGAGCATAAAATTCTGAAGAGTAGTCTTCAATAGTTAAGTTAACTTTTCCAATTTTATCAGTTGAGAAAAGAGATTTNAAATAATGCTTATATTAGCATAAAAGAAGATAAGGGGTAATTTAAAATGAAGCAAATGAAGGAAAATATTTGACATTTATTAATTGTTTTTTAATCATCTATCATGAAATCTTATTAATGATATAATTATAAATGGATCACGCACAGTTTCCTTGATCTCCCACCCTAAGTGATAATGCTTCGTTGATCGTCCAGAGAGCTACTGTTTTTTTTTAAATGATTTTATTTAACTTGCTTTGTATCGTGTCTTCAAATCTTGAAACTCAAATTTATAATTAAGATAGAAGGTCGACGAAACTTTCAGGACATACCTGTCCAATGACAATGCATTTTAATGATGTTTTAGGGATGTGATCCCACTCTCATCATCCTCCTCCTCATCCCGAAACATGTAGGATTTAATCATGTATGTGTATAAGATTTGTTTTAAATTTTAGAAGAAGTTTTTCTCCTCCAATTAAATAAAATAATAAAATTCGAAATTAAAGTTTATCCACAGTATTAATAGAAACAGACCAACGTAATTATAATAATGCATATTTTTAATTCATAGTTACGAATTACCTTGTCCTGATTATAATAATTAACAATATCCATTAATAAAATTATATTCTCTAAAAAAAAGTTATTTTATTTTATTAGTTTTAATATAGGTTAAGGTTATACAGTCTTTTATTAAATATGATAGAGTTAACAGAAAGATTTAACTTAATAAACAGATAAAGAAATTATTTATTTAATGTTAATTTATTACATATTACATCAAACTATGAAAATAATTCGTCGTGTGCTGGAAGAAGAAAGAAAAAAAAGGGGGTATAGAAANAGTCTTTTATTAAATATGATAGAGTTAACAGAAAGATTTAACTTAATAAACAGATAAAGAAATTATTTATTTAATGTTAATTTATTACATATTACATCAAACTATGAAAATAATTCGTCGTGTGCTGGAAGAAGAAAGAAAAAAAAGGGGGTATAGAAAGGGAGAAGTACGATTCATCTTCGATTGTACTGACAGAAGATTGATGGATGGGGCCTAAAAGGAGGCTACCACTTCCACCAGGGAACGAGTTAGGAACGGAAATGGACCCCAAATCGACTCACTTTTAAAATCGATTGCGTGGACATTAACGTCAAATAGATAACAGCCCTTTGAACTATAAAAATGTATCGCATTGTCCATTAAGGTGAACAGAACAGGTAAAAACTTCCATTTCCAAATTACAAAACTGTTATTCGTTTGTCGTTAAAATCGAGGTCGTATTTATAATGTTTAATTATCGTACTCAATAAGATTAATAATGGCAATCTTTTTAAAAAAAAAAAAATAATAATTTAATAAATTGTCGAGTTTTATAGATTTAAAGATTTTCTTAAAATACAAACACATGTTTCTTTGTAATTTAAAATTTGATTCTATCCTCGATTTAAATAGCTAATAAAAATTGATAATTCGACTTAAAATAAATAAAACTTAATAAATTTTCTTATTTTACTTTTGAAATTATATAAAAAAAAATAAATAAATCTTGTTTCCGATAGCGTGAGTAAAAGCCACACCCGAAAACACTTCGTGAAATGTCATAGGATTTAGGTAAGTGACCAGTTAGAAAGTTTTGTAGAAAATATTAATTTAAACTAGAATTATAACTTATTTGATAGCGAAACAGTTGCAATTTTGTACGTCACATAAAAGGAACTTGATAGAATCTAACTGTCTTTAGATCTGATGGAATAAACGAATGAGTTTTCCCGACTTACAAATTATAATCAAGTCTTAATATAGGACACAATTAAATAAACTCTGCGGCCCGGAAATACAATTATATAATATGAATTTCCGGAATTTTGGACGTATAATTTTCAATTAAACAATTATTTGCCTCTCTTGCATTGTTCGTTAATATTTCCAGCTGGAAAGTAAGTGTATATATATATATATATTGAATTTTAGTTACGTAAATTGTTTATTTTAGCTTGAAACGTATCGAGTATCGCATCGTGATGATGAATTGAATTAAATAAGCAGAACAAACTAATCGGTATTGTTGGGTGAAACTTATCCACGTGATAAAATAATGCTTATATTAGCATAAAAGAAGATAAGTCAAACAAAATGAGTATAATTTGTAGCTTATAGAAAAGATATTTTATTACATATATAAGCTATAAGATATTTAACAGAATACTGTAATAAATATTCTTATAAAATACGCAGTAAAATTATATATAAAGACTAACAATGAACAGTTTTAAAAGAAATTTATCATATTTTAACATTAAAATTTCTCATTAATTCTCTGCTAAGTACAAAATTAATTATAGGATTATTAATTAGGTGTTTCATTTATTAATTTATAGTCTTTTAAACAAATTTGAAAAGTTTTACTGAGTTAAACCGTAGATTACTTGTACAGAGAATATGTATACAGTCGACCCCCCTATAACACTGTTGATAATTCCATTTTATATGAATTCCATGTTGTATGAGTCACTTAGATTTTACAAATACGTGAGCCGTTCACAGCCCGGCACATGTATTTGTAAAATCTAAGTGACTCGTACAATATGGAATTCATATAAAACGGAAAAATCAACAGTGTTATAGAGGGGGTCGACTTGTATTAATGTAAAAATAAATACTTTTACTTGATTCTTGGAAGAAATGATTTAACCCGCAAGTTTTTTATTATATTACGTACGAAAGTTAATCTGATATAACATTACTTTAGATAAATTTTAAGTAAAAACAAAATGATAAATTTAATATTATAAAATTGACAGAATATAAAGAAATTGTTAGCTTTAGATAGATCCAATTTGTCTAATGATCTTGTATACGTTTGAAATAGTAGAGGAAGTAGGGAAAGAAATCGTAAATCTCTCTTCAGCTGAGCGTAAGAATCTCGTTTAGAATCGTGCTTTAACATTAAAACTAATCATGCAATCAGAATACATAGTGCATACTGTAATTAGACCAATTCCAAGTATTATTAAATTGAACTGCCAGCAGAAAAAGCTTTGAAACTGATAAACCACGAACTTCTCTACACGAACAATGGAAATCGATAAGAAATAACTAAAGGAAATAGCTAGAGTTTGATAAAAACAAAGTAAGTTTCCCGAAAGGTACACAATGTTGCATGTGCCATCTGTAAATTCGATCAGAAGCAGTCAACCAAGTAGACTATAGGGTCCAATTAGGACTACTAATGGTCCGACCTGTTACCATAGCAACGGTTACATCCAACTTGAAGAGTAACTTAATTTGTCGTTTTGTTGTTTCTTACTGAGCGCCGGACCGAATTAGCGAATGGTATTGTTCGATAGATACCACTTGGTGACGCGTCAAATAACATGCAATTGCTAAGATAACCATCCTTTTCTGACTGTCCAACGACATTCTTTTTTCAACAATTCCTTCTATTTCGATATTATACTTCCATTCTATTTCAAATACAATACAGTATAGGGTAGAAAAATCGCTAAACTTACCCAAATTAAGCGTGTAAGAGTCAACCTTCCCCCCCACATTCAATGCATTCTATTACTCGAGTATTTTCCCCTCAATTTAACGTTTCTACTTATTTTTCTTTCTTTTATATCTTGCTGGTCTGTTACCCATTTAGCCACTTTGTATTACTAGCAAATTAACTCGATTTGCTACATTGGCTTAATTACTAAATTGCTCAATTTTGTATATTTATTTGACTATAAATTTACGAAATTTTAGAAATTCTCCATCAGAAAAATTATATGAATTTAAAATGTAAATCTAATAAAGTAATTATAAATTATTTAAATAACTCAGAAATCTAGTATTATAAAGTTTTATGATGTAAACTTATATATAGTGTTTCATATAGGACTATAAATAGCTTCTATATAAGTAGGATCTATTTCTTTTTTTTTTTTTCGGTGTTTTAAGAGGAAAAATATCAAACAATATGAATTTTTAAATGACATTAATAAACATAGTTTAAGATTATAGTTCAGGAATAAACTTCTGAATTATATAAGGAAAATTGAATTAATGAAATTTTAAACTAGATTATCTTTGTTAAAACAATAAATGCCAAGCTTAATTCTTGTAAAGTTAATCTTATTTCAGATAAAGTGGATCAATGGTCAATGGTCAATCTGAATCAAAAGTTTCTTTGTAGACCAACACCACTTTAACCATTTCCAGTGACAGTTTTCACAAAGGAATCTGTTTGTTCTTTTCACAGTTTGGGTTTTCTTCCTTCAATAAAATCAACCGACTCTTTTCTGTTAGAGATAATCAAGTGTTTTTATTAAATGAACTTTCCACAGAATATTTTAATAAATATAGCGAAATCTATCAATTTTATTACATTTATCTATAGGACAACAATTTAACTACAATTAATAATACATATAGACTAAATTTATGTATAAAAAAAAATTCTTACAGGTTTATTTCCTTTCCACCAACTAACTACAGGAGGAGGATCACCTTCGGATGAACATTCCAAACTCACAGAGGAACCCCAACTGACATTGTAAATAGTTCTTCCTCCTTCAATTTTTGCAGGAACTAAAAAAATAAAATAATTCTTTTTTAAAAAATAATATTTATATATCGATGTAAATTAACATTTAAAATGTTAGAAGGATGTTTTTGACAGTTTATACTTAAAATATAAAGATTCTAGTCGTATAGATTAGAAGAGGGGGGGGAAAATATATTTAAAAATTTTATTCTAAGAATAAATTTATAAATATTAAAATTATTTTTTTTATAAAAATCGTTAATAAATAACTTATAAATTCGTGTTTCAGATAATTTCTTCATTATTTAATCGGCAGCAAATAATATTTTAATGACAATAACAACATAATATAAATGTATTATGTTGTTATTTAATCTAATAAAGTCTCTACAATTTATAATATTAAAAAAATAAAGATTTTTTTTTCTGTCATTTATAATTAATTCTGAAGCAAATATAACTGCAATAAACAAAAAAAAATATATTAATAATTTAATTAATTAAATTCAAAGAATGTAAACAAATTCTCTTAGTTCAAAAGGACTCAATTATAAAAATTATTTACCGAGAAAATTCTTATACCGGCATTGAAAACATGATTATCTTTACGTTATTACAAAAGAAAAGAGAAATGTTAATGATTATTATTAGCACAGAATCTATTTTTAGTTTAATTACTTCTTCCGACTGAATTTTTGATCCATATTATAACTTTTGATTACATGGAAATTGTTACCTTCCTCATAGCTTAATGGTTATAGACCTAACCTGTTTTTTTTTCTAATACTTAAACAGTAAAAAGCTGGCAAAAATCCAGGTTAACTTAACACAAAATTCGAGTACAGTTAGAAGTTAAAGGTGCAATAAAGCCCCCCTTTTTTTTAATTACATTAAATGAATTAATTTGTAAAAAATAAGATAAAAATTCCTCTGTATTGTAACTTTAAAAGTGTTTTCGGCAAATTTATCTCGATTAATCGGCAACAATCAGCATCATTTCAACTTTAATCAGGTTAAGTAGTATCATTTTAAATTAATGATATTATAATACGAAATAATCTAAAACCGTATCCATTATAGGAATTAAATACATTTCGATTATAAAATTATCTATTTTTTTACTTACAGATGGAATATAATTGAATTGTAAATGATACATAAATAATTTACTAACCTTACACGAATATTATAAAATTTGTTTATTCTTAATGATAAGAAACATTTTAGCTATTATTCATAATTATAAATGAGGCCATTTCCGAGAAAAATACCATCATTACATGTCATATATCAATCGTAAAGAATGTAGAGAAATGAAAAGGCGTCAGAAAAGGGCGGAGATTTAAAAAGATATATTTTCTTCACACCAGTATTACTTTAATGTATGAATTTAGGAATCGACAAGTATATAAACATCACCTGGAAAAAGTTCATTTTATAAATTAATAAATCAAAATTTGATGTATTCGACCTCAGACGTGTGTTTAAAATATTTCAAATTTAATTTTAAAATTGAAATCAAGCTTTAAATTTGATTTTTTTTATTTTTTTACAATGCAGTAAAAGTAGGTTAAAGTAGCATTGGAATGAAATTATCTCTAATTGATTTTCTCAATCTCTTTTAAAGGAAAGGCAATTTACAGAAATCTATAGATATTGAATACATAATTCAAGCTAATTCTGTTAAATATCTTTCAGTTACAAGCGTAAAGATTGCACAACTAATTTACATAAATGCAATTTAAGGATTAACTTTCAAATCTGAATAAATTCCAGAATTATTTCGTAAGTTTAGTGTGGAATTTAATTTTCAACAAATTCGGAGGATGATTCCTAATTGATTCTTTTAGCAAAAATTCGAAGAATGTCAAGCAAGATACATACGTATTTTTCTTTACTTAGGCCAAACAAAATTTATATGTATACAGTATTATACAAGTTAAATCGTAGCATTTGAAAATATATTAATTATAATAAAAAATAGAATAATAATAATAATAATTACCGCAAAAAATTCAAAAGTAANTTAAAATTAAGTTTTTCATACGTTTCCTTAGAATTAAGAAGACGGATTAAGTTAATTTATCTTTTATGGAAACAATTCTTAATATTTCTATCTCGAAAAATAGATAATTTACAATAAAAATTCTAACGTTTTGATATATTTTAATCGTATCAGTTCATTAAAATCTTAATGAAAGTATTATATATATACATACTGTACATCTGGTAGAGCTATTATCATTTTTAATCCTTTGTATTGGGGAGAAAATGCTTTAATAAATAATTATGTATGCAGCAGTCATTCAACAAAATACCTTGTATAAAATCACAAAACAAAGTTATATGACAATAGTATCATTTATGTTATCTTTTTAGCGTGAAGTCAAATATTTTTTTACGATTTACATCTTTGGTGTATAAGATATTTCATTTATGTATGTTTAGCTACCTTATGTAGGGTATCTATCGTTTGTCAAAAAATCCAGCACTCAGTTGTTTAACTTTCCCGGCAACATTTAAAACTGCGTATGGCGCCATTTATTACGATATTTTATTTTAAAACTTTTTATATTTTTAATTATTATAAAATGGAAAAGGCTTAATTTTCATAATAAAGATGAGTTTTAAAAACATTATAAATGCTAATAACGTATAAAATCATCATTAAGTTTGATCCCACTCAAGATATAACACATGATTCCCCCTCTATCTCCCCACTTTCTCGACCTTTAACCTCCAAAATTTAACAGCATCAATGACCCAAATATAGAAATCTCCCTGCAAACTTTCAGAAAATTTCGACAAAAGACATAGGAGTTATTAAGCTTGAAAAAGAATGAACAAAATCGTTTCTCCCCCCACACAATAACATTTATACATACGGTAAAAATCCCCGAATTTTTTTGCAAAATTTTGAGGAGGGGCCATTTTACGACAGATCTCTCTCTCTTATATATAACAGCTTGAAAAGTAAAAATATAAGATGTTAAATATTAAAATATTCTCTTCAAAATTTACTTTAACAAAATTCTCGTTTTGAAAGTGATTTTCTTGAATTTCAAAAAAATATATAAAATTTCTACATAGAAGAAGAATGTGTTGGTGTGTTCGTGTATTATACAATGTTCGTATTCTTCGAACACGACTTACAATATTGAATTCCTTTGGAAAAACTGTCACGGTATTAACGATAAGAAATAATTTAAATCCATTCGAACAATGTTAATAGCTGCAGAAAATAATTTAAAAGTCAAAAACGATAGAGTAAAATAAGCAGGAATTTAATATCTAAAAGTTAAAAAAAAAATGTCTCGGTGTCAATTTCCTCTCGTACTAATTGGTTATTTGCTGACTAATTGTATTTTGTTGGTCGAAAGTAAAAATTCTCAAGTGTTTTCTTCACTAATCGCATTTGCCGCTTTGCTGAATAACTCGGCTTTACTTCCACTTCAATTCAGCTCAGTTCTTTGTAATCTTGATTAGTACAAGATTGAAGGTGTAAGTTAATGGAACAGAATGATTACTTCTCAGGTTCCAAGGGATTCTCTCTAGTCGACGTAATAGATTAGTTATGTTTCTGTTTATTTTCAAAATAACTTTTGTTCCAACCATAATAATATTAAAGCCTTTTTCGTCATAAAGACGGATTTGTATCCTAATTACTAAAATTAATATTTTTTAAGATTTGTTATCGCCGTTTTTCTTCTTAAAAATCATAACAACATTTCAAATAAAACCGTTTGTTATTTTAAAAGAAATTATTTTATAAATATTTAATTAATTAAAAATGACTTTAATGTCGAATAATATATGATGGTTTCACCTTCTTAAAGGTTAATCTTATGAATTACAAATTGATTTTTCTCTTCGTAAATCAGACAATTAACTTCATAAGTAAATTAATCTTATAATAGTACTTTCACTAATGGAAAGCCTTTATCAATTTTTTTTTTTTATCCTTTTCGAATTCTTATCAATTGTTTCTTGAATAAAAAAGACCTCAGTTTATATAAAATCTATATGCTAAAATGTAATTTATAGTAGAAAATTTTAGTTGCATGTGAAATATTCATAAGAGAATGAGGAAATTGTTATGCAAGTAACGTTTGCAATTTATTATTAATATGCATAAGAGAATTTCGTATTAATCAAGTTTAAAATTTAAATTCATTTTAAGAATCAATTTATAATTGATTAAAATATTGAAAATTTGCGTGATATAAAATTAGGATACGAATCTTACCCTGTATTTTCGTGATCCGAGACACTTGATAAATTAACTAGTAAGACAATATGAAAATGATAAACACGATATTCTGTAGAGAGATATTTATATAGAAATGGCATTTTCCTACAGAAGGTCTGATCGAAATAACCAGTTAATTACAAGTACTCATCATATTTGGACTTCTATCGTATACACGTGACTTGATAAAGCAATAAAGACCGCACCCTTCCATACCAGTTATAGTGGATAATTCCACTGATTACTTTCACGGGACAGTGGGTTCATTAGTTAAGTGAGTGGCCACTGGTGTCGCTGTTACGTTAGAAGGGTGGACGAGGTCGCCTGCTGTTTGGATTTCACACAACGATAGAAGTTGGGAAGTTTCATTTGACGTGTCGTGAATTGTCAAAGGATTTGGTGGCTTTAAATGGATTGAATTTTGTACCAAGTTTATAAAGTTTCAAGACACGATGGACATACAGAGAAAGATTAGCTATTTACTGAAACTAATAACCTTATATATAGTGGAAAGCTGCTTTATTCATCGGTGCTTATTCCATAAAGGGTTAAAAGTTATGTGATGACTTTGCAAATAATTAGGATACATTGGACGGATAAGAAAAGATAATGTAAAAATATTGTGTTTTCAATATCTGAATCGAAGTGTTCTTTTCATAGAAGATTTTTAATTATTCGAGTGTGCCTTTGAAGATTAATTAGAAAGCTTCAAGTGTGCGGCTTTAGAATTTCTGATTAATAAGGAACGAGTTGAAAGCAAACATCAATTGTGTTTATTAATTGAAGATTATATCT